TTCGAAAGAGGTCTCGAGTCGAAGGGAGATCGTTTAATTTTGCTTTTGACGTCTTCCTCACGATGGAAATTGTCATAAGGCCATGCTGTAAACAGTAGTGGTAGATTTACGTAGATGGCGAGGATTGTGTTGTTATTTGTAGTAGCTAGACGATTTCATGTCTGACGTGAAAACCGGGTCAGTAGTTCAAATAACTGCCTATATATTGTTGTTCACCTTCAATAATTATTTCCGTTGCTCTATCGAATTTTAGTCAACGAACCTAACGCTAATAAGGGGAGGGACAACTACGCCATGTTTGTCATAATCGTCTAGTAGTTTTCCATCAGCAGATGCGAGATCGTGGCGGATTTTGCTTTGAATTGGACACTGGTCATATACCTGTCGATCCGTTTAATTATAAATTGAAAAATCTGTGTTTATTTCACTAAATCATTTATGAAATCTAATATCAAATCACAACCCCTTCAAAATTCCGCTGAAAACGCAGCATTTACGAAATGAACATTGCACCTTCAAAGGAAACCTGTTTCTGTTAAAGTTTGAATAATAGAATTCGATCGTTCGCCTCTGGGTTTTGTTTCGTGTTCTGTACATACATAAAGGTATTTGCCATTCTTTTCCGCGAAGGGTCGGCAGTCGATTGAATTTTTTGTTTCTGTGTCAGGTTGTGGTCTGAGCCCGTTGCTGGTGTATTCATAACCGATAGAACATCGTTACATTTCAGGCTTATCCCTGTCACTGGAGTTTCCTTTGGCAAGGTCATCCGTAAAACTTGGTCAGCTGCACCTCATGGTAATATTCTTACCGAATGACGGTATATTCGTGCGGTTTACCAAAAACTGCACAGGCTGTTCGCGGACTGGGACCGACTGCAAAACGTCGATGATCAAAACAAGATTCTCAGCCTTTGGCAGCTAGGGATGTAGCTGCACGGTGACCACTGCTGCAGATCGACAAGAAGAAGGCCAAGGTACAAGTCAGCAACGGAGTCGTCACCCGTTCCGAACCCTGAAGGCAGACACCGCAATGCCATTATGGCACGACAGGTCAGATTTCTCGGGAACGGCACCACAAGTGTGAGCTGACAGTCAGAAATTGGGACGTCTACCCACTCAAAGGGAAAGAGCAAGAGTTAGTCGATGAGGCCGTAAAGTGCCGACTCGACATTGCTGGATT